GGAGATGTTAGGTAGCTTTCTACTCCTTAATACTTGCCTGATCTTTTCTAGAGATTAGCAAAACGCTCCCCTGCTTAACAGATGCAAATAATTGATAAATTTTTGTAATAAAGATTGAGCTAAGGGCCAGGGATTTAGCTCAGTGGTTATGCTGCCTGCTTTGCCAAGTGCAAGGTCTCGAGTTCAATCCCTAGTACCAAAAACAAACAAAAAAAAACCCCAAAAAGATTGAGCTAAGTGAAGATCATTTTCCTCAGAGCATCCTTCTATGGGTCTAGGCTATAGGCCTGCTTGAAATTCACTCTTTTTTTTCCTTACTGTTAACTCCTTCCCTGGCTGGGGAGGTAGCTCAGTGGTGCCACACCTGCCTGGCAAGCACAAGGTCCTGAGATCGATCCCTGGTACCAGGAAAAAAAACCCCAAAGCAAAAAACTCCTTCCCTTTCACTTAACAAGTATTGTCAGTGCTATCTCTAGAATATGTTTTGACTCTATCTGTTTCTCTGTATCTCGTCTGCTTCTTTAGTCCCCGCCCCAAGTATCTCTCTTGGGGACTACTGACTGCAGTAGCCTCCTGACTGACCTCCCTACACTGACCCTTGTGCACCTGCAGTCCTTCTCCATACAGTAACCAAAATGTTATTTTAAAAATGAAAATAAGACTATGTCAGTCCTCTGTTTAAAAACTCTTCTATTACTTGAATAAAACCCAGATGTCTTAAATGTGTACGTACTCTGGTTTTTCTCAATGTCTCTGATTTTGTTTCCATATTCTCTTCCTGTTCTCTTCTTATTACTCTCCAGACACTTGAACAGAGCAAGCTCATTCCTGTCTCAAAGCTATAATCTAAATTTAACCCCTTTGTAAACTGCACAGACTAAGGGTGTGGATTAGTTAACCTCTTCCAAGCCAGAAGATGATCCCCTATCATTCTTTACTCTCTGCTGCCATCATGGGGTAATGTAAAGAATCAGGGACCTTACTAAGGACCTGTTCTCGATTTTTAAGAATATGGAAGCTAAAATGTATTACCATTGACTCTCAGAAGAAAGACCTCTAACTCAGTGCCTCTAAATGAATCACTGAAACACAGAAGTTTTATCTATAAGGATTGATTTCATCATTCATTTAAAATTGTTATTTTTGTTTATTTAATAATGTATACAAAGGCAGGGACATAGTTTAGTGGTAGAGGCAGTCTTAGCATGTGCAAGGCCCTGCATTCAATACCTAGTACTACTATTACTACTTCTACCAATAATGTATATAGCACATTAATGCAATACTAATACTACATGTATGGGATTCATAAATAAATATACATATATAGTTCTGTGTTCCTTAACGGGCAAGGATACATTCTGAGAAATGCCTCATTAGGCAGTTTCCTCACGTGTGAACATTACAGAGTGTACTTACACATGGTAGATTCCAGTCTCTCAACGTGGCCTCTGGTGTAATCGAGGGACATACTAAACGTGATAAGTGAGTCTGCTGCTGGAGTAACATGGCATACTGTTGCACAGTCAACATTTTTAATAAGTAGGAGTACACTCTAAAATAATGATAAAAGTACAATGTAGTGAATACATAAACTAGTAACTTGGCCATTTATTAAGTATTATGTGCTATACATAATTGTACATGTTGTACTTTGAAAATATATTTTTATTTTTAAATGACACAATTTTACATATTTATAGAGTACAATGTGATATTTCAATACTCAAGGACAGTGTGTACTGAGCAGATTATAGTAATTCACACATCTGTCACCTCAAACATTTATCATTTCTTTGTGTTGGGTGTGCTACTCTTTTACATGACTGGTAGCACGGTTTGTTTACACCATCATCACCACAAACACATTGTGTTACAGTCTTATGAAACTGTGATGTCATTAAGTGATAGGATTTTTCAACTGTTTTCATCTTACAGGACTACTACTGTTTTGTTTTGTTTGTGCCGGGGATCGAACTCAGGACCTTGCGCTTGCGAGGCAGGCGCCGGAACCACTGAGCTAAATCCCCGGGCCTAGGACTACTACTGTATATGTGGTCTGTCATTGACCAAAACATTGTCATATGGCACATGACTGTATAGTGTATACATCTCAAACATTTTATGTGGATTAACTAATAAAAAACCCAGAGGCTACAGGATTAAATAAAGCTAATAGAGTTTAAATGTATCATTTTTTTCCCTTGTAAATATAATGTTGATCAACTAAGAGTTCCATTGTTTTCCATGAGTAGTAGTGATTTCAAGCTAAAAAAAATTAGAAAGCAAAAGGGAAAAATATCAGAAGGAAAAACTAGGTATATTATTCTTTTTTTTGGTTCTGGGAATCAAACTCGGGACCTTGCGCTTCCTAGGCAGGCAGTGGCACCACTGAACTAAATCCCTGGCCCTTAGGTATCTTATTTAAGCCTTCTAGAAATATTATTCTTCCAATTATACATTCAGTATGAATTAAAATCATAAACATTTGTATTCCTAATGAGAAAACTTTAGTTATAATACATTGGCTCTTACGCACAATCCAGAAGCATGTAAAAAAAGATCTTCCCCCCTTATTTAATGTATTTTAGACATTGAAACCTGACTATAAAGATGTGCAAAGTCTTAGGAATTTGCAGTGAGTTTTACCCTAAATTAGCAGTGTTACATATTAGAAGTAGAGACTTGTAGCTTTTTCTTGGGTGGAGAAAACACATATTGAGCATTGCTAATCTGAAAATCCAAAATCTGAAACTTTTTGAGCTCTTTCATGATGCCACATGTGAAAATTTTACATCTGATTACATGTGACAGCTCATACTCAAAATGCAGGTGTGCTAAAAATACTGTATAAAATTACCATCATGGTTGTGTGTATAAAGTATATGAAACAAATGAATACTGTTCTTAGACTTAGCTCCCATCCCTAAGATATCTTGAATATGCAAATATTCTAAAAAAACCCACAAAAACCAAAGTATATTTCTGGTGCCAAGCATTTCAGGCAGAGAAGGGACCTGTATTATATAGAAAGGAAACTACTCATTAATGAAATAAAAGGTGATTTGGCCACATCAGAATGAGTCGTTGGAGAATAAGAGTCCATAGTCAAGTTTCTTATGGATCCTTTTGACCTGGGTTGAGTTGCAAGAAGTAGACACCTGGGCCGGGGATTTAGCTCAGTGGTTTTGCTGCCTGCTGCGCAAGCTCGAGGACCCAAGTTCGATCCCCAGTACCAAAAAAAAAGAAGTAGACACCTTAGAAATCAAAGTAGCATTCTTTCTTTTGGGGGTATGGAACTAGCCCTCATTTATAACACAGTGCCTGAGAAGAAACTCAAGGCTTTTGTGAGTTAAATCATGGATTTACTCAATGCAAAAGAAGGTGAGGGCCAAAACTCTCCCAGATTTTAACAGGGGCTCTTTGTGATGTCGGCTGTCTTCTCTCAGTGATCTTGATCACCTCAACTATGAAATATCCCTCCTCTGATTACTTGTGACACTGGTTCTGAACCACTCCTTTCATACGTACCATGTCATAGTCTGTGTGTGTGAACTTGTGTCTGTAAGTCTCTACTCCACAGTTCCTTAGCCAGAGACCATCTCTTCCATAACTGTATCCACAGTGCCACTGTGCAGTGCCTCCCACCAGGCAGTATGGGAGTGAGAGGCACATGGCCCTAGAGCATGGTTTCTCAGCCTCCTCCCTGTTGACATTAGGGAGCCGATCTTGTGAGGGGCTCTGCTGTACGTTGTAGGATGTTTACTAGCATTCTGCCTTCTACCTACTAGATACTAGTACACTACTTTCACACAGTTGTGACAGTCAAAAATTTCTGTAGGCATTTCCAAATAAGGGGAACAAGGGTGGTGGTGGTGGTGAGGAGAAGAAAAAAGAAAAGAGAAAATAGAAGGAAAAGATGAAAACAAAACTTTTGTATATAAGGAGGGGAAGAGGTCAAAGTGGGGGTTGGGAAAAAAGAAGCAAGATATATCATGTGCAAGCATGAAGTCTATCTAAAATGTGCCAATAAATGCTTCGCTTCAACAAAACCAAAAAAACCCGATTAGTTTCCCTTGGGCAAAAATCACTCTCATCTAACAAAAATTAGGTTATAGTCCTGGTTTTGCCTTTAATCTCACCATATTTGGTCAAATTGCTTCACCTACAGGCCTTAAGTTTCCTCTGCTGAAACATAAGAAGGGCTGGAATTAACTAGGTGCTTCATCTGAGTTTTGTGGATAGTCATAGGGCGTTTTAATCCCTTGAAAAAGTATATGAACTTTGTGTGTAAGTTTTTCTATGGATCAAATTTTTAGCTTTCAGCAGTTTTTGAAAATTACTTATGACCACAAAAGGATTGAACCAGATCCAAATATGTTGTTACTGTGTAAAATTATTTTTATCTCTTAAGATAGAAAGTTCCTAATTTATGCTCAGTAGCATTATACTCAATATTATTTTTTGTGTGTGTGAGTACATTTGTGGCTATAAAATGGTGAGAAAGCATTTTGTGCCACCAGGATCTGTTATATTGGCAGATAGCACTTATTTACAGGTCTGTGTTTTCATCTTCTTTTAAAAAATTGATTGTTGAGGCAGTACTGATAAGGTAAATGAGTTACTAGCACATAAGAGAGTTTGGATAATGTAGAGTGTGTTTATTACTTGGCACGCCTTAGCCTTTTTTCCTTACCCTTTTATAACCAGCATTTCATCTGACTCTGCTAGTATATGTCCCAGAGCTACTGTGTGTCAGCTGGCCACTATTTGTGGACTGCTCGTGTTTCCAGCCCTGGAGTTGGGCCCTAAGGAAGCTTTGTCTGGGATGCTGGCTTACAAGGTCCATTTCACTCATTAATTCCTTAGAATTAACCCCAGCTCTGGCCAGCTGCTCCTAAAGATATGCCTCTTAGCCTGTTTGTTTGTTTAGCTACAGTTTGGGGTTGTGCTTGCTGCTGTACAGGTTGTGAACCATGATCTGTCTTGCTCTGTTGCAGGTAAATTTGGAAGGCAAAGCCAGTCCTCTGTCACTCCTACAAATGGCTTCACCAAGCGGCCTCTGTGTCTTGGTTCGCTTGCCCAAGCTGATCTATGGAGGCAAAACACTACCAAAAACATTACTGGATATTTTGGCAGATGGCACCATTTTAAAAGTTGGAGTGGGATGTTCAGAAGATGCCAGCAAGCTTCTGCAGGATTATGGCCTCATGGTTAGAGGGTGCCTGGACCTTCGATACCTAGCCACGAGGCAGAGGTACAATTTATATGAATGCTGAGATTCCTGTGACTTTGGTCAAACATGTTAGCAAGATTTGTGTATTACTGGGAATCAATAAGGAAATATTTGAAATTCTTTACAAATGCATATTGAATTTGTGAGAGACATTCCAACTTCTGTGAAAACTTTAGTTACATAGAATTTTTATTATTTTTGCTTCTGTTTTTTGAGACAGCGTTTCACTATGTAATCCAGGCTGGCCTTAAACCCATTATGTAGCCCAGGCAGACCTCAAACTTGCAATCCTTCTGCTTTAGGCTCCTATTCCAGCATGCTCAGCTGGTCTTTTTTTTTTTTTTTTTGGTATCAGGGATTGAACTCGGGACCTTGTGCTTGTGAGGCAGGTGGCAGAACCACTGAGCTAAGTCCCCGGCCCAATTTCTGGCTTCTTTGGAAAAATTAGATGATCTGACATCACTGATTCAGCATTGTAGATGACAACAGTGGCCCAGGTATTAATCCTGACTCATCCTGATAAGGAACTGAGTTTGTAAATCCTTTCTTTATCCAAAAATGATGATAGATCTATCGCTTGTCTTGGAGGAAAAGAGTTTTCTCTTTTCTTCTTCTTCTTCTCTTTTTTGAGACAGAATCTTGCTGTATAGCCCAAGATGGTCTTGAATTTATGATTCTCCTGCCTTAATCTCCTGAGTGCTAGGTTCACAGGTGTGCCACCACATCTGTCTCCTTTTTTCTTAGAATTCTGTTCCTGTGGAAATTCTATTACCACTTGTCTTTCTTGGAGAGGCAGTCACAGTTACCTTCTCACGTATGTGCAGAAGTCCTCTTTCATAATGATGTGGACTGAAACAGTGTCTCACCTGTCTCAGATGACACTGCACTCAAAGGTGGGAGGGTTTCATAAAGGTCAGAGAAGGCCTTGTTAAAATCTGTGCTTATTATAATTTTTAGTATGCAGTAAAATTTTGTTTTGTTAGTTTGGTTTCAGTACATAAAACTGTTATAAGTGAAGTATACATTTATTTCAATAACACATTAAATTGTACTGTAAAAATTAAAACTCTGTGAAAGTATTTGAAGTATAATAGCAAAAGCCCTCTCTCATCAGGCCCTTGTGTGCTCTGTGCTATGTGTAAAGGCTGAAGTTGACTCAAGAATAGCCTGGGTGGGTGGGTGTGCCAGTGCTGCCACTTACTAACTGTGCCATCTTTGGCAAAGCACTAACCTCTCTGTTCTTCAATTTCTTTATCTATAAAGTAGAGATAATAATGCTCCCCCTCATAGGATTGGTGTGAAGAATAAATGAATTAAATTAGGTAAAGTGCTTAGAAGCAGTAGTGACATATAAGTGCTATATAAATTTTACCTATTACTGTCATCATCATTATCACCATTGTCACTGCACTTTTAGCATGATCATTATCTGATTGATTTTCCATCCAGATCTTTTAAAAATACATTTACAATCACCTGTATGAGTGTAGAGAAATTGAAGGTACATTGAATTTTGATTTTTTTTGTTTGGTAGTAGGTACTGAACTTATGGAATTCATGCTGAGGTACTTTCATAGCCCTTTTATTTTTAGACAGGGTCTCGCTCAGGCTGGGCTTGAACTTGTAATCAATCCTTTTGCTTCAGGCTCCCAGAGTCCTAGGATTATAGGTGTGTGCCACCATGCCTGGCTGAATTCTTTGATTAAATACAGAATGACCAAGGGTCAAAATAAGAATTTGGCCAAAGCTGAATATTACCACAAACTTCTCTGGAAATCAGAACAAAACTTTTAGGGCCAAGTGCAGTGGCACATGCTTGTAATCCCAGCTACTTAGGAGGCTAAGGCAGGAGGATTGCAAGTTTGAGGCCAGTCTAGGCAATTTAGTAAGACCCTGTCTCAAAATTAAAAATAAAAAGGCCTGAGGATGTAGTTTGAGGCCCTGGGTCCACTCAAAATAGAAACTTTTATTAGGCCTTTCCTTTTTAAATGAAATTTCATCAATATTAAAAAAACTTTTTATTTTTAAATTTTTTCCAGAACGGGGATCGAAGTTAGGACCACTGAGCTAGATTCCCAGCCCCAAAATTGTTTTTTATTGAGCATTTTAATAATAAAATTTGAAAATTTTGACATAGTGGAAGAAATCTGATATAATTTAGGAATCATACTTAGTGCTATTAGCTACTAGATTGGTATTGCTATTTGAGACAGGGTTTCACTATGTAGTTCAGGCTGACCTTGAACTCGAGGCAGTCCTCCTGACTCAGCCTCCCGAGTGCTGGGATTACAGGCATACACCAACATGCCCAGCAGAAATTTTTCTTATTGAAACTTTAAAGTGGAAAGGTGGCATTTGGTTTTTCATGTCTGTGCAAGAAATGTGAAATATTTCCAAATATGACATTAAAAAAACTAATAACTTAAGTAGAATTATATAACCAAAAATTAAATACTATCTTCAATGGGGGTAACAGTTTCAAGAAATACTACTACCCACGCTTGGAAAACTGCACAGCTGTGAGAAAGAATGAAATAAGAACATTTGTAAGTACTAATGTGGGAGGAGGCTCATGGTACTTCTCTGTTGTTTGAATTTAACAGTAGGGATTCATTTCTGAGTTTTGCTGCTTGTATGTTTTATTCTTTGGATGCTAGGGATTGAATAAGCTCTTGCTCTTTCTCAGCACATCTCTACCACTGAACTACACTCCCAGCCCCTACTTTAAAAAAAAAAAAAAAGAAAGTGTAATAAAATTTTTTTCTTGAAGTGCTGGTGATTAAATCCAGAACCTTGTACATACTAGGCAAGCACTGTACCACTGAGCTGTGTGCCCAGCTGCAAAAGAGAGTTTTATGTTTTCCCTAGATCCTTGATTTCTTTTCTGTACCAAGACTTTATGAATTTTACCTAAGGTGTGTCTGGATTTTTTTGGTGCTTTTTAGTGTGTTCCTGCCTTTTGGGACTGATGAGAATCATCAATTTCCTGCTTGTTTTGTAAGGAAAGTCTTCCTTTTTTTTTTGAAATGGTTTTGCTTTGTAATGCAGGCTAGCCTTGAGCTCACTGTGTAGCCCAGGCTGGCCTCAAACTTGTGATAATCCTCCTGCCTCAGCCTCCTAAGTGCTGGCATTACAGGCATGCACCACCACACTGGACTTGTTTATCATTTTAATGGTCTCTTGGTTGAAGTCTCCAGGCTTTGGACAAATCAATTTTTTGGCTTCCCTGCAGCAGTTTTTTTTCCTGGAAGCAATTTTAATCAGGAAGTTTTAGAGAGCAGAAAGAATGGGGTGCTATTACTGCTTGTATAGGACTTTTACCTCTTTAATGAAAATAGGCTTATCATTTTTCAAAACTTGCTGGATCAGAGAATTTTTATATTGAAATTTTTATAGCTATATATTATTAAACTATTTTACATAAAGCTTGTAAAAATGCAGAATTCACAGCTGGGCATAGCAGTGTAGGCCTATAATCTCAGCACTCTGGAAACCTGAAGCAAGTTTCAGCCCAGCCTGGGGAACTTAGTGAGGCCTTGTCTCAAAATAAAGAAAAACATCTGAGAATGTAGTTCAGTACCAAGACCCTGGGTTCAATCTCCAGTGTCCCCCCCATACACACTTACACATAAAATACAGTTCACAAATTTTAGATGAAACTGCCTGATTGTTTAGTTCTATTGATACTGGATGTAGTTATTTTTAAAAGCCTTTGGAATCTGATAGTTAACAAATTATTGTTTTCTTTGGCATCTCATAATTATCTTTTGTCTGTATATTGGCCACTTATACATTGCTTTGTATTTCCCTGTTCATGTCCTTTGCCAGTTTTTGATGCCTGATTTATTCCTTGCAGAAACAGTTTGCTCTGCAGTGGGCTTAGCCTAAAATCGCTTGCCGAGACTGTCTTGAACTTTCCCCTTGACAAGTCCCTTCTGCTTCGTTGCAGCAACTGGGATGCTGAGAATCTTACAGAGGACCAGGTACTTCTTTTTTTTTAATTTTTAAAAATTTTTTTATTTTATTTAATTTTTTTAGGACCAGGTACTTCTTATCAGAGTAATTAAAGAATTGAAAGAGCCATTGCCTCTGGAGTGTAGTTGTTTTTAAAATTCTAATCTTCGGGAAAGGGATTTAGCTCGGTGGTTTCGCTGCCTGCCTCGCAAGCACAAGGTCCTGAGTTCGATTCCCTGGTACCAAAAAAAAAAAAGTCAGTATAAAGAAACAAAAACAAAAGTCAGTATAAAATTCTAATCTTCAAGTATGATGCAAGTTTTGGGTAGAGAAGCGTTAGAAGAGACTTACTAGCTGATAATAATATAACTGCTCTACCGTCACTTGTATCCCACTTAAAGAGTAAGACTCTATTAACATTTTATTTGTTTAATCACTTAGTATTTGCCAGGTATTTCAGAAAATATAACTTTTTTTCAGTACTAGGGATTGAACCCATGGCCTTGAGTTAAGTGCTCTATCACTGAGCTACATTCCCAGCTCTTTTAAAATTGTATTTTGAGACAAGGTCTCATTAGGTTGCCCAGGTTGGCCTAAAACATGTGATCTTCCTATCTCAGCCTCCCAAATAGTTAATATTATAGGCATGCACCACTGTGCCAGGCAGAAAATGTAATCTTTTTTTTAAATTAAAAAAATGATTTGTTCATCCAGGGGTGTACCTTGGTAATAGAGTGTTTCCCTAATATGTATAAGGTCCTGAATTTGATCTCCAAACAACCAATCAATCAGTCATAATATAGTATTACAAGAGTTATTATAAGAAACAGTAAGTAGTTTCCTTCTTTACCCTTCCTGTTCCTAATTCCTCTTGCTTCTCAAGAGGCAACTACATTAATTTCTTTCTAGTAATTACAAGTATATTTCTTTTCTTTCCTTTTTTTTTTTTTTGGT